TCTTGCAACCTTAGCCTGGGTTAGCACTTATGAGCTCTTGTATTATTGTCCTCTCTCATTCAAGCAATTTTAAAGAAGTCTTGCAAGCCTAGACTAGCCTAGGATAGCCCTCAAGCGTCCTTGCATTATTGCTCTCTCTCAAACTCAAGGAAGCCTTTCCTTTTCCCTCTCATTCTCTCTCTCTCTCACGCTCTCCCTCTCTCCCTCCCTCTCGGCCGCTCGCCGTCCATGCCACCGCCGCTCGCCGCCACTCGCCGTTTGTTCGCCGTTCGTCGTCGTCCATAGATCTCACCCCGGTTTCGTAAGTAGATCCCCTAACCCTTAGGTAGGGCATTGTGTTTTATAGTTTGGATGTAGGGTAGGTTTCGGTTCTGTGATTTTTATGGTTGATCTTGCTTGTTTAGGCAGAGGAATCTCGTGTATGAAATTTGTATGGTTTGCTCATGATTTGATTGGGTTTCGAGGTTCGGGAATTAGCATATCCTTGTTGTGTGCATGTCTATTTTTGCAAGAAATCGTTATGGTTGAGTTATGTGTTCGTAGAAGGTTGCTCGGAACCGTTGATGAATGATTTTAGTGCTTGTCTTGCAATATTGATTTATAATGAAGTGTTGTTGGTTATATGTGATTATGGATACTTGAAATCATGCTCCAAGTTGGTCGGCACTTCTTTATTGACTCGGTTCCAGTAAGTCATAATATACACTTGTTGCACGCCTTTGAGGCTATTGCATGGACTTAAAGAGGAAATAAGAACCGGTATGAGTGATTGTTTGTGCGTGTGATCACATAAGAGAACTTGTCACCGATGGATTTTGGGGCGATGCTTGATCGATTTCGGATGCCGCTTGCGGATGGTTTTCGAAATGAAGCCCATGATTGGATGCCATCGTCGAGTGAGGTTGAGACGCTGCCGTGTCTGATGGGGCGAGACAATGCCCGGTCATGTCGGAAGCGCCGACGGGAGTTCGGTTGTGGCCAATTGCGGTCAGGCCGCTTGCAGTCCTAATAATTGAAACACGTGTGAGATATTGTGAATGCGATTGTGCGAGACTTATGTGACATGAATTGGACTCTTGATTTTTATATGCATTATAGGTACTTGAGCTCCTCTTTCATGTTCATAGATAAGGCAAAACAAGGGCTTTGCTATTGATCTGCCATCGATGTATTGAGCTCCAAGTTTTCCGTGTTTCCGAGGCGAGGCATCCTCTTATATGAGGATTAGGTGATTTACTTATTGAGTTTTACTCAATTGTTGTTGTTCACTTGTTTTCAGGCTGTCACGACCTACCCATCCCGATCGGTTAGGCCAAGAAGTATTTGTCGATGGGTGTGAACATTGATTGATTCATTTGAAAGACAAACCAAATAGTTGATTAATTCAAAGATCGAGGCACTCCCAAGTCTTATACCTCGCGTGACGAGAATTATTTAATTTTCATATTCGATTGGAGTCGCCACTAGCCATAATCAAGTATTGGCTAGAAACCCTCATCAAGACGTGGGAGTATCATCTCGAGACGTGCGAAAACTAGAGATTCTAAAGATCGAGAACTTGATTATACTAGAGATCTAACTAGTGCCCTTTCGGTACCTAAACTTGAATGCTCGCAAACCGACCTGCTGGGTAGCCTATCGAAAAAGGTAAAATTCCACCTAACTGTCGCGTCGCGCTTTTTTTTGGACTTTCGGGATTTGCGCGCTAAAGAGGTATTTCCGTGTAAGGGTCTCTCCCAGACTATACCTCACGTGACAACAGATGGTAATTTCCTATTTAGTCTAAGTTTTTAATTTTGGAGTCGCCACTAGTCATTATTGGTAGGTAGACTAGAAACCTAATCGGGGTATGGGAGAAATACCACGATTCTATGAACCAGAGATTCTGAGTATGGGGACTTGGTTACGTTAATGATCCCAAATCGAGATCCCCAATACCCTTTCGGTACCTAAGAACGATACGATATCTAACGTGTCATGCAAGTTTCTGAGGCTTACCCACTAATTCTATCCATTCTAAACGCAGGAAAATCAATCAAGAATTAAATGCGCAATCAATGTCAATCAGATCAATCAATCCTAAATGGTCTTCTAAAAATGAAAATCAATCAAAACATCCAAATCCTAATAAAGCCCTAGAAGCTTATTCATTTCATGATTTGTATTTTTTAGGGTTTTAGGGTTTTTTAGGGGCTATAACCCCTGAATTTGAGATTTTCTAAAAATGCCACTTGGGCACTTCCAAAAATTCAAATTTCATTTTCTAAGGTTTGCTACAGTGTTTTTGAACCATTATGTGAATTTTTGAAATTTTTGATTTTTTAAAATTTTTTTTTTCGGAAATTGAATTTCTGAGAATTTCATTAACCGAGAATTGATTTTTATGATTTTCTGAAAATTTTTATGAATTTTCCAATTTTTTATTGATTTTCTAAAATTTTCACATTTTTTATTTGTATTTTCTTAAATTTTCTGAATTTTTATGAATTTTCTGAAAAAAAATTTTGAAATTTTTTAATTTTCTGAATTTTTTTCGATTTTCCAAAATTTTTCTAAATTTTTTTTATGAATTTTTTTAGATTTTATTTATTTATTATTTTTTAAAATTTCCCGCCGGGAAATGAACCGAATCGGCCCGGTTCAACCCGGTTCAGCTTGGCCGAACCAGGCCTCGTCAGCGCCATCGCCAACCACCTCCTTCGGCGAACACAACGCCCAAAAACGGCGCCGTTTCGGTCTTCTTTCTCCTAGGCATTTTGCCGAACACTTGGTGTGCACAATTTCAAATTTAATGCTTTTGAGGCCATGACTTCGGATCGGGATCCGACGGCCTTCCGGTGTGATTCCAACCATGATTTTGGGTTCTACATTGAGATTACATCATCTACTATCATATTCAATTTGTCAACTCGTCGTCGAACCTCCGTCGGCCGGCGAAAAGCCGGTCGGAAAGTGCTAATATGCTATTATCCTAACCTAGCATTATCGGAAGCTCCAAATCCCGATTTTATTCGCCCTAGCCGTTTCTAACGCTTTAAACATTCATCAGAACATCAAGCAAGATTGGAAATCACTAACTTGGGTGACCTAAGGTCACGGCAATACTCCAGCGAGGTTCCTCGAGCTCCGGCGAATTGGTTCATGAGGTGGCCGACTCGGTTTTAATGCGTTTTCAATCATCCAAAGTGCAAACAAACGATAAGAATGAAATCAGAACATGTTTTGAGCATTAAACGTAACAAAATCATGCAACTACAAAAAGCTTGATCAATGGGGGTCGCTTCTCTCTCGTTGGAGAGCTCTTCTCTGCTTCCTGTAGCAGCTTCTTTGAAAAAACAAATCCCTAAAAATGTCGTCTGTTTCCCAACCTTTGCCCCACAAATCTGTGCAGTTCTTTTCATGAATAGCACAATCTTAGAGTTCTCTATGCCCCATCCCAGTTCACTTTATAAATAAAAGCTCCATCTTAAACCCTAACCTCTTTTACACCTTTCATCTTCTACCACTATGATATTGGGGAAAAACCATCTCCTTCCCCCTTCCTTGCGACTCTCACAGAACCATTATTTTTTTACCCCAACCTACACCCTAGCCCTTTCTTTAATTTCAGTTCCCTCTCATCCTTGAAGCAACCGTGCCACTCCGTATGTAGTCTTTGCGCTGGAATGGATGGCAAGAAATGGAAGTTCAGAAGCTCGCCTTAGGCTGCTGTGTCGAAGATTAGGCAATCTGTGGTCCGAAGTAGAGGCCCCCGAAAGAGATGCTGTGGTGTCAAAGGAAAAACTGGAAGAAAGTAGCCTTACTGTTTTTGGGAAGTTACACTCAGATGTCAACATCAACTATCAGGCGTTCTACAATACAATGGTGAAAGCATGGAAGATCGATTCGGTAATTTTTAATCAACCAAAAGCAGGCATTTTATCTTTCACTTTTCGTAATGAGTCCGAAAAAAACAGAGTTCTAGAGAATGGCCCTTGGTCTTTTGCTAGTTATCTACTGGTTCTACAACCCTGGGAACCTAATAAACCGCCACAATGCTATAAGTTTTCCTCATGTGAATTCTGGGTCCATGTTCATGGCCTCCCGGTGGAATGGTGTACAGAGGAAATGGTTTCCCATGTCTCTCAAATCTTGGGCAGAGTCCAAGAAGTACGAGTTGAAAGAAAAAGAGCAGCTTTTCGTAGAGTGGGCAGAGCTCGGGTTAGTGTGAATTTGGATACCCCTTTATGCCCTGGCACCATGACAAATTTGGAAGGGGAGAAGGTGTGGCTTGATTTTAAATACGAGCGTCTACCAAGATTTTGCTACTCTTGTGGTAAGATTGGCCATTTTACAACAAAATGTGCTGATATCCCCTGTGATGAAGCCAAGTCTGACGATAACAGATTCAATCGATTAGGACCATGGCTTAAAGCTGAAGCAAGGGAACTAAGTCCTTATTGGAAACTCTACTATGATGAAGCTGATGATGTGTTTGATGATATTGCAGAAGAGGAAGTTATCTCTGAAACACCTATGCAAAGTTCTCAATTGGTCTGTGTTCAGCAGAAGAGGACTTGTCAAGCCCCTGAACAAGATCCGGCCTCTGATCAGGATTTGTCCCGAGCTGAAAATGGTATGGACACAGCCTTCTATCAAGGGGAGACGCAGAACAACCCTGAACATTGTGTGAGTAAGAAAGGAGGCCAAATCCAGCAAAAGGAATGCTTGGAACTCCAAGTAAGGGGACTACTGGATGAGGGGTTATCACAAAAATACAGAGTCATTAAGGAACCAGCAAACAAGAAGTTAAAGAGGTATAAGCCTTATAAATCCAAACCTTTGGATTTTAATGCTCTAGATGAGTCCCAATTGCAGGATACTCCAATCAGGTTCTCTGGCGAATCTGCTGAATGGGCTCTGGTGGCTAGCCCGAATAAGCCACTGGGTTACAAATGAGAGTTTTATGTTGGAACTGTCAGGGGTTGGGCAATTCTTTGACAGTTCAAGCACTACGAGCCATGGTGGTTCAAGATAGGCCCAATATGGTATTTCTAATGAAGACAAAAAATCAAGAAAGCGTGCTAGATCGAGTACAAAAGCAACTAAATTTTCAAAGCAAGTTTGTGGTGAACGCGTTGGGGATAGCGGGGGGATTAGCTGTTTTGTGGAATAACTCTGTTGATATTAATATCGAGGAAGCCTCACGGGAACTCATCAATTTGATATGCACGGATGTAGACAGCGGGAAGACAATGAGAATTACTTTTGTCCATGCGCCAAATGTGATCCAGGAGAAAGTCAAATTTTGGGATAAGTTGAGACAGGTAAGCTTATTAGATTCTTCACCATGGTTGTGTTTAGGTGATTTTAATGAGGTTCTATATGACTGGGAAAAAGTGGGAAAACGCTCGATAAGCCAATCTCGCCTAAATGCCTTTCGAGAATGCTTAGATGACTGTGCTTTGATGGAGATGGATTGTAAAGGATGTGCATACACTTGGGCGAACAATAGGGAAGGAGAAAATTTTGTAAAGGAAAAACTGGACAGGGTGTTCTGCAACTTAGACTGGCGGCTTTTATTCCCAACAGCTGAGGCCTTTGCACTAGTGGCTATTGGCTCTGATCACAGTCCTCTTTTACTGGATTCCTCAATTGAAGTTGTACAAAGAAGAAGAGAATTTCGCTTTGAAGCGTACTGGAATGAGGAAGCGGAGTGCAGCAAGATTATAAAGGAGGCATGGCAGTCCCCATTTCTGGAAAATGCAGGCTTAAAGGAGAAATTACAGGTGGTAACTAGGGTTTTGACCATATGGAGTAAAAAGAAATTTTCGAATAGCCATCACAAAATCGAATCCTTAAAGAAGGAGCTGCTGGAAATTACAAATAACATTCATGTTCTTGAGGAAAAAAGCAAAATTATGAGCATAAAACAGGAGATTGAAACTCTTTGGCGACGCAAAGAGATGTATTGGGGGATGAGATCGCAGATCAATTGGTTGAAATGGGGGGACAAAAATACAAAATATTTCCATGCGACAACTATTCAGAGGAGGAACAGGAATAGAGTATCCATGCTGCAATTCCCTGAAGGAGAGTGGATAAGGGATAAAAATCAGCTTCAGCAGATGACTATGACATATTTTACTGATCTTTATACCACTATGGGTCAAAGAAACATATTACCCATACTGAACCAGATTTCCAAGCAGGTAACAGATGAAGTAAATGAAACTTTGGTGACAGAGGTAACAATGGCGGAGGTTAAAACAGCGGTATTTCAGCTAGGAGCGTCTAAAGCCCCTGGACCAGACGGATTAAATGGTATGTTCTTTCAAGGCCATTGGGATGTTATTAAGCAGGATGTATTCTTGGCAGTTAAAATTTTTTTCATGTCTGGAATCATGGAACCAATACTGAATATAACTTCTATTTCCTTGGTACCAAAAAAGCCTAATCCAGAAAAACTAGAGCAATTCCGACCCATCAGCTTGTGCAATTTTGCATACAAGATTATCTAAAAAATTCTAGCTAACAGGTTAAAAAATTTGCTGCCTGAACTGATTTCTGAGGAACAGAGTGCTTTTGTTAAAGGAAGACAAATACAAGACAATATAATGATTGTACAAGAGGTCCTACATCAATTGAGGATCCGCAATCGAAAGAGAAAATTCCAAGCTATCCTCAAACTAGATATGCAAAAGGCATATGACAGAGTGGAATGGGACTTCCTGGAAGCTAGCCTGTTGAAAATGGGATTTTGCACTAAATGGGTTGGATGGGTGATGCAATGTGTATCTACTGTAACTTTTAGTGTGAGGCTTAATGGAGAACCTCTCCCTTTTTTCAAGCCAACTAGAGGTATTCGGCAAGGAGACCCCTTATCACCCTACCTCTTCATTCTGGTCACAAATTGTTTATCTTTTCTAATGAAAGAAGCTGTGGAAAATGAGAGCATCAAGGGGATTAAGTTAAACAGGTATTGTCCAACCTTATCCCACTTGTTATTTGCGGATGATTCCATCCTTTTCTTGAATGGAATAGTATTAGAATGCCAGAATATTTCAGCAGTCCTAAATCAATATTGTTATGCTTCTGGACAAGCGATAAACTTGAACAAGTCAGGGATTTTTTTCAGTAAAGGATGCCCGCAGTCATTGAGGGATAACATGGTAAGGGAATTGAGGATTCCAGAGATTAGCCATACAGGGAAATATCTTGGAATTCCATCTGATTGGGGTGCTTCTAAAAAAGATATGTTTGCTTGGATTTTGGGGAGAGTAAATTCTAAACTGGAGGGTTGGAAGGAACAATTGATATCAAAGGCTGGGAAAGAAATTTTGCTGAAAACTGTGGTCCAAGCATTGCCACAATATGCCATGTCCATATTTAAAATCCCTGTCTCTGTTTGTAAAGCCATAGAGCAGAAAATAGCTAATTTTTGGTGGAAAAACAGCACCTCAAGAGCTGGAATGCACTGGAAAAAGTGGGAAATTCTCAAGACTAGGAAAGATGAGGGAGGCATGGGCTTTAGAGACTTGCTCACGTTCAACAAAGCTATGCTGGGTAGACAAGCTTGGAGGTTAATCACAAACCCAGCTACTTTATGGAGCAAAATACCGAAGGGAATTTATTTTAGCCAAAAGGAATTCTGGCATGCTGAAAAAGGAACAAGACCATCTTGGGGATGGCAAAGTCTGTTGGTAGGGAGGGATGCCATTGCAAATTCAACAATGTGGTCTATTGGAAACGGGCAGAGAGTAAATATCAGGGAAGATAAATGGTTGAAGAGGGGAGTGATTGGAGGGCCAGCAAATGTTAATGAACCTAAGAAGGTAGCAGAATTGATAGATGCTGCAGAGGGCCAATGGAATGAGCAAAAGCTTGAAGAACTCTTCGATGAACAAACCAAGCAAGAAATTCTGTCCATTCCAATTCAACCACAGGAAACAAATGATGAATTATTCTGGAAGGGAACAAAATCTGGATGCTACACAGTAAAAAATGGGTATAATATAATCAGGCAAGAATCAAGTAAGAAATTGGCAGAACAACCCTCATCCTCTACTCAAACACCCAGAGCACTGTGGAATTCTATATGAAACCTAAAGGTATGCACAAAAGTGAAAATTTTTCTGTGGAGTACATGTCAGAACGCATTACCAACGAAGGAAAATTTGTGGAAAAGGAAAATAGTACCTGATCCATTGTGCACTCTATGTCGAAGCAAAGTGGAAACAACAGAACACACTTTGTTGCTCTGTCCCTGGATCCAACAGGTATGGTCTAACCCAAAACTCAAATTATCTGTTTCAAAACAAGGGATAACTCGAATTGAAGCATGGTTCATGAAGTTTACAAAGAAACAGAATGGATTACCATCTCTGGAAATGGTGGCGACTACTCTGTGGCATATCTGGAAATCCCGGAACAACTCGATCTTTAGAGGCCAAAATCCAAATGCGGAGGAAACTGTAGAAGCTGCGCAAGTGATGGAAGAAAATTATGAAAAATGGGGGATTCATATGGCAAAAATAGGGAACGGAAGACAAGGGGCAGCTTCACTAACCTGGATTGCACCGGAGAGAGGGAGGCTGAAAATCAATGTTGATGGCTCGCTTGTGGAGGGATCAACCGACGGTGCGATAGCGTGAGTTTGCCGGGATCACACCGGGGTTCTCGTCGATGGACTCACAAAATCTGTCAAGGCATCCTCGGTGGCTCAAGTTGAAACACTAGCTATACTGGAGGCAATGAGATTTGTAAAACAGCGAAACTTGAAGGAAGTTATAGTTCAGTCAGATAGACTTGAACCGGTTCGTACATTGTCGGGTGCAGATCAAGTCAATTGGGAGATTTGAGTGCTCATTAAAGAATGCGGGGACCTTCTTGTGGACCTCCCTTTGTTGCGGTTGGAGTATTGTCCAAGGAGTTCAAATTCGGTTGCAGGGTGGGCAAAAAAACCATCGAAACCAACTTCTTCCATTGAACTGGCTGTCTTCCCCACCCCCGGCCCTCTGGGCCTTGCTTTGTAAAGATGCCCCGCGTTTGGGCTCAGCTACTCTATCACATTTATGATATAAATAATAATCAACTTTGGTTGACCAAAAAAAAAAACGTAACAAAATCACGAAGAAACACACAAGTTTGAGCTAAAACTCATTCTGGAAATTCTGGAAAACAGTGATAATGATCAAAGTTTACCTTCTTCATTCGATGATCAGATGGAGTTTCTGAGACGATCCACGGCCGTGGAATTGTTCCCTAACACTTGATCTTCAACCTAGTAGCTTCGGATTCGCCGGAGCGTCTCTCGGCATGTCGGACGAAGCTCGTTTTCAGGGCTTCGTGATCAATTTGTTTGACTGGAACGACCAGGGGAGAGTCGCGGCCTATCCACGATTCGCCGGTGCTCCGCCGTCTACAGCGGCGCCGGACACTCGTGAGGGGACTCTCGACCCTCTCTCTCTAGTTCATTCTCTTTGATTTCGCTCATTTCTCTCTCTCTCTTCTCTCTCTAGCATTTCACCGAACACCTTCCTTTCTTCGTTCAGTTTTTTTCCGCTTTTTGTTCATTCATTTTTCCTGCTTAAAGATTGTTTAGGAATCGAAGCGCTCTCCTCTTAGACCCCTCTCCTTTCTATCTTCTGAAACTCTCTCGGTCTCCCTTCTCTTCCAAAATACCCCCCCAAAAAGAACCCCCTCTTTTTCTCTAGCTCAGTCCTTTTATCTTTGAACGTTCTCTCTTCATTGGGACCACCAGCTGCGACTCTGACCTTTTGCCCCTCGACGCACGACAACGCCTCCCTATTGTTGTGTCAAGCCCCGCACTCCTCGGCGCGCCACATCCCTCGCAAAGGTCGATTCGAGTGCGACGTCCCAGGACGCGTCGCCGACCCAACACCCAACACAAAGATTTAAAGCAGATGCGGAAGTAATTAAAACCACCCGTACATTAAAATACACCTAACCAAGGATAGCCATACAACAACCAGCACGGATAATTATACACTTGTTTTGACATCGGGAAACATATACAATATTCATATACAGCCCACACTCAAAAATCAAAAGCGGGTACGTGGCTCGGCGATCAAACACTATATCTAGCTGGGGCTCCTCCCAAAACGTTTCAATACGCCTGCCATCCTCAAGGCTGGGGGTCTGAAAAAATTGGGTTTCAACAACGGTGAGAATAAATCTCAGCGAGTAATTCCCTAAACCTAAATTAGGCTAAAGTGCACCTCCTGACGAGTACTAAATAACACACAAATCAAATCATAAACCAACTCAGGCCCGCGGGCCTAAATCTAATTCGTACTCGACCCTGCAGGTTAGGCATTCTATAAATATAATCACAACAGTATCATAGAATTAGATTGCGGCACATCTACACATATCACTCTGTCTCGGCTCATGTAATGCATATGCTCGTGCTCGCACTCATGTTCATGTCTCAACAATGCATTAACGCACACTTGCATGCTAGCACTCTGCCATTTATCAATTTCTCCTCCGACCCGCGTTAAACGCATCAGGTCCGACCCGCGTAAAACGCATCAGGTCTATCACTTCGAGATCGATCTTTGGCCCGCGTAAGATGCATCAGGCTCATGACACATTACTCGCGTAAAACGCCTCAGGTTGGTCATCTTCCGGTAAACCGGGCATCGTCCCGCGTAACACGCCTCAGGACGGGTTCACTACCCCGCGTAAAATGCATCAAGGTTTATTGTGATCACACATTCACAAGCACCAATTTTCATCTGAACCCCGCGTTAAACGCATCAGGGCATTTTAGGTGATCACAATGCACATGTCACTCGAGCACACTTGTAAATGCACATGCCGTGCCAATGCTCGTGATGCAAACTCATGGCCATAAACTTCACACTCGGGCATTCACGATTTCACAATGGACATTCAATAGCACAACGCCAATTAATTAGTTCACAGTGCACCATGTCCAATCAACATTTCAATATGCCCAACCCACATATTAGCACGATCATGAAATTCAATTCAAGCACTCATGCACGGTGCACAATTCACGCGTATAAATCACACAATCAGTTCAGCATGAATCCACAGAAATTGAGGCCCATCACATTACTCCCTTCCTGATAGCATTAGGCACATGTCATGGCACTACAAAATCACTCGCATTTAGGGACAATTCAACCACTAGTTCGGTCAATCCATCATTTCCGACACTTACACTCCAAACCTCAATTCAATCGCGCCTTGTCCGACTAATTTCCAAAGTGGACAGCCACTAAATCAATTGCGCCGGGCCATTTAATGACCTCAAAATGTTCCACTAGACTCCCCAAGACACCATTTTAATCAGCCACCATAATGCCAAATAAGGTGCGCACTAGAATCCACATTTTAAACCCGAAACTTCCCAAACTTGGGCTAATCCGATCCAAATCTGTCCGGCCAATACTCGGCGCTTCTCAGGCTACTAAACCTCCATTTATTTATCGCACTAAGCCCGTAGAACAGCCACCAAAACAGCCACCAAAACAGCCATCACCCGGTCTATCAATTTCATCCACTAAGTTTGCCATTTTGTCTAAATCTCGGCACCCATGCTTCGCTACATCACAGCACTATACGGGCCGCTAAACCTCGACTAAATAATCATCCTTAGTCACCAAAAACACCACAGAACCAGCCCATATCACCCTCCACCATTTAGCCCCTAATGAACCCCTAAAACCTGTCTAGAAATGCAAATTGTCCTAATTAGGGCTTAGGGTCAAACTCACCAGATGTCCTAAACTTGAAACGGGCCGAACACACGACGAAAAGGGGCTGGACAGCGGCAGTCCCTCGCCGGAACAGTAACGGCGGTGGCGGCTCCGGCGAACGGCGCGAGCGGCGGCGACGGTCTAAGCTAATCCACGACCTAGAGAGGGAGAGAGAGGCACGGTCAGAGAGAGAGAGAGAGAGAAATGGAACGGCTGGTCGGCTAGGCGAGGCAATGGATCCGCGCCGGAACAGTGACGGCGGCGGCGGAGCTCCTCCGGGTCAAGGCCTCTCACGGCCAAACCGAGAGAGAGAGAGAGAGAGAGAGAGAGAGAGAGAGAGAGAGAGAGAGAGAGAGAGAGAGGGAGGAGAGAGGGCTTGCCGGCTGCTTGGGGTGGAACACGGTGGCAACTGGCGGCACCGGAGGCGGCGACGGCGGCGACGCGGGGCCGGCCGGCAAGCTGGCGGACAGCGGCGACCGGCGTGAAGGGCAGCAGCGGCGAGCTCGCTGCTGCGTGCGCGTAAGGGAGGAGAAGGCGACGTCGGGGCGGCGGCTGGCGGACGGCGCGGCGCGGCGGTCGAGCTGGCCGGCGACGGCGCGGCACGTAGCGGTCCGGCGAGCCCAGGCGGTCGGCGAGCTGGGCAAAGGTGAAGCAGACCCAGTCGGCCGGGAGGAGGAGAGAGAGTGAGGGCTTCTGTGGTGGCGGCGACAGGGTGGCGGCAACGGTCGGGCGGCGCGCGGTGGTGACGAACGGTAGCTGGCGACGAGCGGGACGGCGTCGGGCGGAGTGGAATCCAGACGCGGCTCGTCGGGGAGGAAGAAGACCGAAGCAGAAAAAAGAAAGGAAGAAGAAAGAGAAGAAGAAGGAAGAAGAAGAGAGAGAGAGGAGAGAAGGTGTCAGAGGAGGGGGAAATGGGCGTGAGTGGACTTCTGCATGGGGGGTTACGTGCGGTCAGAGAGGAGAGAAGAGAGAGAGGGAGAGAAGGAGGAAAGGACGGACGTGATGATGGGGAGAGAGGGGTGCGTGCGGGCAGAGGAGAGAGAGAAGAGAGAAAGAAAGAAAAAAGAAAAAGAGAGAGAGAGTAGGACAAACGCGCGGCCAAGGGGGGGTGTCTTCGGCGCGAGAGAGAACAAAAGAAAAAAATAATTTTCATTCAAATATTAATCGCGATCCGAAGGCCCAATCTCAAAATCGAAAACGATCTGCCGGTCTAAAATAAACCTCGAATATAAAAAAGGGACAAAGGCCAAATTAATTAAATCAAACTATTGCGAGGGAGGTCTACTAGTCCAAATTTGCACCCGGTCAAAAACTCTCCTTTTTCCATTATTCCTGACAATCTCAAC